AAGGCCAGGAGAATGAAAAAGTTTTTTTTTTTTTTTTTTAGGACAAAGGCCAAAAGAATAGCAGAATTCATATTCTTCACGTACAAAAGAGGAAAGACAGAGGAATACCCGAAAGCTTCTTTAGGAGCGGGCTGCAGGATTGGGTACAAGCGCCAATGAGGCTGTGTTCTTTAGTGTAAACAAAAGCCGTGTAAGGATACAACGATAAAAGTAGTAATATATGTAGAATATATATATATAACATCTCGCAGTAGAGTGAAGAGTAGTTACTAGTTACATTTATACAGGTAAGTAATTACTCTATATTCAACGTTATATGAATTAAGATGAAAGAAACATAAAATATGCTCTCACGTAGACACTGGTCTGAGTGGACCGCCGACTGGTGGGTGAGACAAGAAGCGAGTAAGCGCATGAAACAACCACCTTATGCTCCTTTTTCTGCAGCTTTCTTCTGTTGTTTTGGTTTTAATTGTTTACATTTAAACTAATTCAAACACTAAAGCATCATTTTGTCTCAAGGCATGGCGATCGCCGTAGCCGCTCAGGCGGGCTGCCACACGAAAGCCACAGAGCGGGAGCCCCGCTCTGTGGTTGTTCTTTGCTGTATCGTCAGTTAACTTTTTGCAATTTGTTGTAAAATATCGTTTTCCTTTTGTTTTAATCTACATAATATATGTTTTTTGTTCTTGAAGGGGAATTAATCAACTAGGGTGAACGCGGTTGACGCCGCCCATCTCGATTGAGTCCAGTGCTGCTCGATCCGCTCGACCCCTCCTCTAGACAGAGTGAAACTGTAGGCTGACCGCGTTAAATATTTTAAAATATCTTTATCTTTTGTTTCCTTCTGTTTGTTCGGCTGATCGCTCGCGTATGTGAGATGACAGCATCACTGGGTTTCACGTTTAGGGGTGGTCTCTGTACAGCAGTTCTTCTGAACCTGCTGTGCATTGGGCTGCTTTGGGTGGAACCTGAAGGAGCCTCTTCTGAGTTGAATGATCTGGGGTTCGACGCCGGGTGGAATGCTGGCATTTCGGCTTCTCAGCGGTCAGGTGGTTTTCACTCCGCCTCTGAGAACTCGAGCTTCATCGGAAACCCTCTAGACAAAGGCGAGGAGGAAGGAGAAAAAAGGGAAAGTAAACATATGTTATTGGGGCTTTTCTCCGATGCTGATGATGCGTGGCTCAATAACGGCCATTACAGCAACAGACACTCCACCACCACCACCGCCACCAAACGCCCCTACACTACTGGTTATGGAGATTCCTACAGAAGCTCGATCTACCCACCAGAATCCAGTCATTGGGATATCCCACACTTCTTCCTGCCTGATGATGTGTGGCCTGAAGACACCTTCACGACCACTACCACAAACACCAGTACCAGTACCACCAGCACCACAACCACAACCACCACCACCACTACAACTACCACTGAAGGCATCCTTCTAGACCCAAGTTACCCCACGGAGATCGTGGACGTCGAGGAACCGAGCTCTGAAGACCGACAGCGGTGCCGTCTGACACTGCCAATCTCCGAGATATCTCGTGGGGAGAGTCGTTATTTGTTGCAGGGTAACTGGGGCGTCTATATCGAAGATGAAAAGACTCTGGCTTTCTATGCTTTCACTGTAAAAGAGGAGGCCCCACCCAAAGGGTTTTTCAGCCGTCTGTGGAGGCGAATCCGAGATCTTTTCTCTGTGCCTCTCGCCATGTACAGGTACCCCTTGCCTCTGCCTCAGAAGTGTCTTTACCGCCCCAGCGACCCGTCCTCGGGGTCTGCTGCAGTTGAAGAGCCAGAAAAAGTAACCGAAATAGTTGTTCAGCTGACTCCCGATGCTGTTGCAACTTTTCTTCCCTGTCCATATTCTCCACCAATCACACCGCTGCTCTTCGCCTCCCTTGGGAGTGGCAAGCTCAAGCACCTGGGGCAGTGCCTCTTCGGCATGCACCTACTTAGCTCCGTGGATACTTCAACTCTGGTCTTCACTTCTTCTGCTCATACAGCAGTCGTCGAGGCGAGAGACCCGAAGGGGGGTCCCAACCGGCGCCTGGAGACGCTGCGCATCCCCTGCAGCTGCAGCCCCCAGAGGCTAAGCCTCATCACCTGGTGGACCGGAAGGGGGCCCCAGGGGACCCCCTTCGTCTTATTCTATGTAGGCTATGACGGGCACAGCCACCACAGGCCTCCCGACAACTGCAAAAAGCAGAGGCTACACAAAGTCCCCCTTTCAGACCTCAACAAACCCGTCAACTATGCTGAAACGCCATTCTACGAAAAGACACAGTGAGGCAGCAGCAGCAACAGCAGCAGCAGCAATAGCAGCAGAAGCAACAACAACAACAGCAGCACAGGCTTTGCTGCTTCCCATACCGGGGACCGGACGGGACTCAGCGTTTCTCGAGGGACACCAACAACACGCAGGGCTTGGGGTGCATTCACTGTGGCCCGCTGCACTGCGCCCACAGCGCCAACACTGCCCCCTGCAATGTCTCCGGCAGACTATATAAAATATAATTGCAGGGAGAGCTCAATAGATAGTGTTATTTCAGTAGAGACGACGTCTCTGCCCCATCTCCCTCTGTTTTGTACTAGGAGGGAATGGCTTTATCCGTGGTGATCGTTCACTCTAAGGACCCCTGTGGGTTCTCTTAGTGATTTTTCCTTTTCTAACATTATTTTAATCATTCATTTTGAGGGCATCTATCGCGTGAAAGTAGTAGAGCTGTAGCAGTAGTTTTGGGTATTCGCGTCGCACTGGCGACGAGGCGGGTCTAGGGTTTAGGGTTTAGAGGAGCCAAAGTGTAGGGTCCAACCCTAGACAGTAAGACCCTGGGACATAAACCGCCAATTTTGCAACGAAGACGAATTCTTTAGCTTCTTGAGCTCATTAGCTGTTACATGATCGTTCCAGGTGCGCACTTGGTGGTTTCGGGTGTTTAGGGTTTAGGGTTTAGTCGTTAGGATCTCATGGTTTCAGCTAAATGCCACTAAGCGACTGCTACCAGTTAGCTTGCTACAGGTGTGCGGCCTTGGAGAGTGGTACAGCGCGCAACGAACACATGCATCAATGTACAGATGCTGCCCCTGCTGCTGCACTCAAGCAACTGCTGCTGCTACTGCTGCACACAAGCAACTGCTGCTGCTGCTGCTGCAGTTGCAAGCGAGAGATATTGCCACGGGAAACATCTTCGAGGACTAAAAGAGACAAAAAATGGTTGGCATGAGTTGTCAAGCCAGGGATAGTAACAGCTACAACGGGCTCCCCTCACATGTCTACATATCCGGGAACAGAGGGAGTCTACTGCAGCTATTGTTATTCTCAAGGCGGCCTTTCTGCCTCTCAGGGCCCTCATCTAAAGCGGCAGGTGCAGAGCCACGAACAGGGGCTCCGCGTGGGTGCAGAAGTGGGGCCCCATGGGGGGGCCCCGGCGTCAACTTGAAGACAGAGGCAGAGTAGGGGGCCCCATGTAAAACCGACTTCAGGGCACCTAGATCTCGAGCGACGCAAACGAGAACCTCCGTCACCGACGCGGGAAGGCTGTGAACATCACCCGTATAAATAGGACCCGACGTAGTTCCCTAAGACGCTGCACAGCAGCAGCAACAGCAGCAAAGCATCAACTTCAGCAGCATCATTCAAGCAACAGCCTAGCACCAGCTAAGTAGTAAAACCCAGCCAGAAAGCAGCCAACAGCAACAGCTTACTCATTGCACCCCTCAGCAACAGACGTAAGGGCCTGGCGCATCGCATCGATGTGACTTCCAAGCAGACCCGCTGTCGACGCCTCCCCCCTGCACGAGCAGCAGCAACAACAGCAGCAGCAGCAAAAGGATTCGTGGTGTATTCGCATGCACAGCTACGAGAGGTAAGCGTCTATTCTCTGACTCTGCCCACGTAAGCGACGTCATATGTTGTTAGAAAGCTCTCAAGAAAATCCAACTGCTTACGGTTTGTTGAATGCAGAATCTGTTGCTGTGCTCCTCGCGAAAGCGCTCTCCGCTTGCCAGTCTTGCCTGTTAGGGGCCTCCCCGTGCTGCTGCTGCTGCTGCAGCTGTGGGGTGCTGATGGTGGTCGGAGTGAGGGGCGGCGGCGGCTGAATGAACCGCTGATGACCGGTGGGGCTCCTTGTTGCCCCTTGAATAGCAGGACTGGCGTTAGCAGCGTTGCTGCTGCTCCTGCTGCTGATGCTCCTGCTGCTGTTGTCGCTGCGGCGGCTGGTGCTGCTGCGGTGAGCAGCAGGTGCAGCAGATGTCAGGGCTGTTCCCTTTCGGACGGCGAGAGAGAGAGCAACGAGACACTGCACAGATTCAAGAGGAGGGAATTTCAGCAGACGACGAAGGCAACTGCTGTAGTCGCTTTCTAGTAGTTGTTGGCGGATGAACTTGAGCATTGCAATAGCGAAGTAATCAACCAGAGGAAGCTTCTTTGAAGCTGCAGCGGCGCATGCCTCTGGCGTACTACACGCTCCTGCTGCTGCAGCAGCGGCTCCTGTTGTGGTTGCCCCTGCGCCTGCTGCTGCTGTTGCGGGTGCAGATGCTGCTGTTGCTGCTGCTCCCGATGCAACTCCTGCTGCTGTTTGTTGCTCGGTAGAAAGCCAGGCGTCTGCCAAGAGAGCATCCCAAATAAGCAGTGTGTCTTCGATGTGGAATTCGCGAGAAAATAAGAGTCGCAGCCACCGCAGCAAGAAGAGCTGCGGCTCGACACCGAGCTCATTCAGGTGTAAATACACATCAGGATCTGCCTTACAGAGAACACTGTCAAACACCATATTGCATCGGTGCAGCACAGCAGAAGTTGCGGGGCCCCTGGGGGGGACAGGGGGCCCCAGGAGAGGGCCTAGAAGATCGTTCTTCTGTGGCGTGGCCAGAGGCTCCTTCTGGGGGGGGAGATACATGGAGCGCATGCAGCAGCCCGTCATCAGCCCATCGAAAAGGCAAAATGCATCGGCTTCTATGTCTGCCGGGTCTGCTGAAAATATGACAGAGAAAGGAGACAAAGAAGATTCAGCAGCAGTAGAAGCAGCAGGCACTGCTTCGCGAGCGCATGCAAGATACAGCACCGCTAATATTTCGTTCATGCCTTGTTTATAAGAGACGTCGCTGTTGCTCTTGGCCCAGGTAAACAGAACCCGCTGCAGGGAACGACGAGTGCCCTCCTTGTTGAACAGCTGTCGTTCAGGATACGTTCGCTCTATGTCTCTCCATATCTCTTCCTGCAGCTCTTCGTCTACCTGTCGCTGACTCCAGGGGTTGCCTGCTGTGGCTGCTAACGGGTGGAACCGCTGCGGGTCTAGCGTGGCTAGCTGGCTAGCTGAAAGCTGCTGCTGCTGCCGGAGAGAGCGGTAGCGTTGCCGCTGCTCCTTCACTTGCTGCGCCCACTCCTCGACTGTCTCTCCACTCAACAGCCGCAGCAGCCGCGCCCAGTGCAGCCTCCTCAGGAATGGCACCACCGGGGGGCTGTCTCCCTTGCTGGGGGCCCCTGGGGAGCCCCTCTCTACTTCCTGCTGTAGATGTCCGATATCCAACTGCTGGCGTCCCACTGCATCGCCGTACAAAACATGTTCTGCCAAGGCCTTCAACGAAGAGGTCGCAGAAGAACTCTCAACAGCGCGGGAGAGAGCTGCAAGTGCCTCCGGTGACACGTGGAGCAGCGCCACCTCTTCTTCAAGAACGGTGTCGTCCATTTTGGCTTGTGTTTGTGGCTAGCTGCTGCTTGACGTCAGTCCAATTAGCTAGCTAGCTAGCTTTCCTGAAAGCAACGGGCAGAGGCCGACGAGGAAGGCTTCCGCCAACGAGCCCCCGGGCCCCAAGACTGTACCCTGTGCTTCCCCGTTAGCCCTCTTCAGGCGTATAAAGCGTCTTCGAGGGCCCCTCAGAGAACACCTCGAATGCCGAAAGCAGAAAAGGATGTGGCTGAGGCGGAGGTCGCTGCGAACTTCATTGAGTCGCAGGAGGCAAATGCACGCTGCTGTGCAAGCAAGACGCTGGCCGCCACTGGAAAATCCAGAGAGAAGATTTCGAATTTGCCATCGAATCTGTTAAAGAGAAAAGACGAAGACGCCAACGCAGGAACGCCGGGAAGCTCTCAGAAACACGGCGCTCAACCCCGGCCTGCACGGCGGAACTAAAAAGAACGTCAAAGGAACAGAAAAAAAAGCAGCTAAGACAATTGAAGCCTTACAACTCAGCCATGATCACCGTTTCATATACTTTCAACAAAGCAGAAACACATGCAATTCGAACAAGATGAGCAGAGCTGCTTCTGTGGGCCTGGACTGTTGAGTTCTGCCGGGGCAGGGAGGCGTCCGGTGCGTTAAAAGATACTGTTGACACCCGTCTTGTATTATTATTTTAGTATAACCAGTATGTGGCATTTCATCTCCCAATAGTGTTTATGCAGAACCAGAGGGTTCGCTGCGGCGCTGCTTTGCTGGTACCGGAGACAGCGCATCCGCTCACAGGAGCCGTTGCTCTTCCTTCGTATTGCACTGCTTGCCTAAAAATGCGAAGTCTACTGTCCTCATAGTTTTCGAAGCTCAGGTTATATGTAGTTAATAACGTTGAGTGGAACACAAATTGTTGGCTTGCGTTGCAGCTGCGGGCTAGAAACCACGCTGACTTTGCATGTTTCCCCTGCACCCATCTCCACACCATGGTACAAGCATTCGGCAAGACAACAAATGAATTCCACTAGCGGAATTAGGCGCTTTAGTGACCCTGCGGGGTACTGCGGTGCAGCTAGCTCAGGCCATCGTGCATCTTCCAGCTGCTTGCCTGGCACACAGTTACATCGCACATTTATGAAGCTGTGTGATGAATGATGCTCTATCTGATGTTGGCACATCTATTTTCACTTTGAGCGCATGCTTACTACTGAAGCCCAAGTAAGTGCTTAACAATTTCCAAGGGCGTTAGCGAATGCATCAAATGGAAGCTTCGGTATGCTTGCTTGTGTGTTTGCTTTGGAGCAAGAGTTACAGCAACGTGTTCTGCAACTCACTCAGGCAGCATACTATCCGAATTAGACATGGGTCCTCGTGCCGCTGCTCCCAAGATGCCTAGAGACCGCAGTTGATGTCAGCTGCCGTTTGGACAACATTTTTTTTAAATATTTTGGGTCTGGTGCAGCTGACGGCGCTCCTTAGCTAGGGATACTCGTTACACTTGGCGGCGTCGCACAATTCAAATGCGCAGCCGACAGCCGCGGGCCGCACTTCCCAGCCTGGTGGGCTGGTGTATAACACGTATTATGCGTTGAGTCGCTTTGTCTGATGGAGGAAATAAGATTTTCGGGAGGGGGGGGGGGATCTAAATTTCGCCCTTTTTTCGGCTGAACAAAAAGTCTAACCCCTTGACAATCTGTTTCAGGGGAAATTCTCAGTTTCAGCCCTTTGTTCATTCAAGTAACGGACCTTGGTCAGGTTCGGCTCTCTGTCGTGAAGGCAGCCAACGGCTGGACGCGCCGCTGCACTGGGACAAACGCGGCATACGCAGGCAATCCAGCCTTAAATGTTCCTACGGAGGAGAGAATTAATGAAGCATAACTGTGCCTTTATCAACCGACCAAATACAACGGGCGTCCAGGTGGGAGGCCAACGGAGGGATTCCTTGCTTTTTGGAATTCTTTGCTTTCTGGAGGCATGCTGTCATCTCCAATGTGCAGCCAAAAAGGTGCTGCTGTTATTGGCATCCTCTTTACTAGACGGGGAGGTATGACAATGGCAAATATATAGAGGCAAGTATGCCGCTTCTTCAGAGCGCATCGGGTCTGCGGAAGCTTCCCGTCATGCGCAGCGAAGTAACAGGCTACGGCAGGATACGGAAAACAAACAGGAAAAGTTATCGACAGACCGCTAGATGAAGACTCCTCTGTAGCGAACAGACGTCGCACAGCTGACCCGAATCTTTCATATCAGTAGTTTAGTGCGCTTCTATACGCTAGAGAGGATCAACCTGTAATTTTCACATCCCTAGAGAAGGACCTAAGCAGTGAGGCTGTTGTAGCCGCCGACGAGGTGGAGCGCCTGCGCTCAAAAGAAAAAACATGCCACTTCCTCCGCCCTAGCTGAGAAGGAAGAAGAATACATTGGTAGTTGCCCATATATAATAGAGCCTATCTCTATTGAGACTGTGACTGCTAGTCCCAGCCGGAGGGCTATCTGATCCCTAATGCCCCAAACTCTCCTTAGACTGGTCCTTGTGAAGGGGAGCTTCTCACACTGATGGCCTGGTTGGGACGGCATCGCCGCTCTTCGCTACGGTGGAGATGGAATGCCTGTATTGGCGCATGACGGTTTCTCGACTATTGATTGACCCGCTGTGAAGCAACCTCTAGTTGCCCGGCAGAGCGTGCGATTGGCCCTGAAAGCAGCTAAACGGAAAACCGCTTGCTACAGCGTGCGTCCCTTCCTCCGGAAGAGGTCCTAACCTGCAGTGTGAGTATGACAGCCAGGTGATTCTTTTCGTTCTTCACTTACTTTCCGCGTGTTATATGTCCACCCTGACTGGCTCTAGCAACACAGGGTGCTCTCCATGGTGGCGACACACAGGCGGAGGTGGATGAGCGCATCCTGACTCCCTGTTCGACTCAGATGCGGCAACAGATGCGGCAGCTGCTCTCTTTTCTAAAAATGAATCCATATTGAAGGCATATGCGGCTCCTATTAACTATTTCCATCGTCATCAGGGACGGCAGCAGCGAGGTGAGCAGCAGCAGCAACACCAGCACCCGGAGCAGCCGCTCGCGCTGCAGCAGCACCAGGAACAGCCGCTCAAGCAGCAGAAAAACACATGCAGCAGCAGAGGAGCACGAAACCCTTCTACCTGCACAGCAGCAGCAGTTAAATGCCGCGGCGCGGGGGGGCGAGGGGGGGGGTTGTACGCACGGCGAGCAGCATCCGCAACGGGACCGGCAGGACGACAAGGAGACACGGCACAGCCCGACCACATTCAGCATGGCCACCCGCGCACGAGGTCGTGACCTTTCCGCTGAGGGAGGGGGCAGATGTAGCAGGGTCTGCCTGCAGTTAGCACAGGAGCCTTCACGTGGTCTTGGTAGGTTGCATGTAAGCAAAGATGAACACTAGATGCGTGTATTAACTAGCACAGGAGCCTTCACGTGGTCTTGGTAGGTTGCATGTAAGCAAATATGAACACTAGATACGTGTATTAAGACGTAAAGCATGGAGAAAAGGAAGCTTCGTTGAAGCTTTCTTGTGTGCATGCGTGAGGCTGGCTTGCTTCACCGGCCGCAGGGAGGTGCGCTGCAAGCCCATTTCAGGCTGCCTCGTCCCCGCAACATCCAGGCGCTTAGCTCAACGCCGGGGAGGCCTGAGGAGAGGGGAAAGAGGTCCGCTGCTTTTGGGAAACTCTTACTTTAAGCAATTACCTACATAGCAGCTCGTTTCTGTCCCTGATTAAGGCCTGATGCACGTCATACAGACTATGCTACACTCGTCTCCCCAACTGTAAACAACTGTTAAGCACTTACTTGGCCTTCAGTAGCCAACCTATATACATTTAGAACTACGTCTACGGAGTTGAGGCAAACTATACTACAATACTACACATACTGTTTCGTACGCTAAACCTGGAAGCGTACCGCCATCCCCCAACGACTGCAACAGCTACCCCAGATCCAGCCATGCCCGCTCCCCCGTTGGATGCATGCACGAGCAGCATTGGCCGACTACTTGGACTCCAGTAGCTACTTTGCAGACAAATACGGACACATACAGTTAACTTTCGGCATACCCCACTACGTGCCAAACGATAAGTCACGAGGGGCAGCGAACCTGGACCCGAGGTGTTACCCGCACCCTGTTGTGCATTTCTATTCAACGAATACTCCAACCGCATATTTTCAAATAGTATGAGGCAAGAAATAGCCACGAATTGAGACAAGTTCGTTGCAAGTACCTGCTCACGTTCCGTTCCTCGGCCTTTTGCGTTCCCGCGGATTTACCTCTGAGCTAGGCTTGGAGTGGTAATGTTTGCTTCCGAAACAGTGTGTCCGCTGCATTAACAACCTTAAATTTATCTCCACATTATACATTATCTATGCATGTGTAGCACTAACCCTCGCTGCTACATAAAGCTCTGTTCTTGCTTTTCCGTCGATCTGCTGCCTCTCCTGTACGGGGGGAACGGAAGCCAGGGCCCCTGTGTGTGGGATACGTTGCATGAGGATGCAGATGTAGCCACGTGCAGACCTTACTCAAGACTCATATATTTAGATTCTAGAATAATTTATGTGCCGTTGTATGCTATGGTTCTGAATCGTCATCGGCTCCGGGGGATGTTGCCCCTCCAATGCAGCATATGGCATCATTAGCCCCCAACGGCACGGATTCTTTCCGTTATTTCTCTTGTGTCGTTGAGCTCCGCCACATTCTGCGCCTTCCGTGGTAGAAAACAGCACTTGATGACATGCAAACACTTATTCATGGGAGCAGTGGGTATCCATCGCGACTTCATTTGCAAGTTACGAAATTCAGCTGCAACGGCAGGTCTCGTCTTTATTTCTAGACTTGCTGGTGGCAGCTGAGGAAACAAGTTGTGAACGCCCTCGCATTTCTTTTCTGAAAGCCACTCAGCTGGCCCCCGGGTATCTGGCCTTGGGCCAGATACTCCTACCTCTGTAATTCTGCAGCTTTTTTTCGTCCGTGTAGAAACAGCTGCAACAACGCCAAGCGCCCCGCTCGGCCGCACCCCATTCCCCCCACCCCCGTGACTGTTGGAAGGCTGAGGTGTCTGTTCGTCAGGATATAAACACAATGGCTGGAGAGCACTTGCCACTGGTTGGGGTGGGTGTTGAAGTATCAGAGGCTGGGAGCAGCGAATCCGAAACATCTTCAACTGAAGCAACGACTTCCCACACGTCGACTCATGCTGGCGGACCTATAAAGCTAAAGGTTGTGATGCTGAACGTCCTGTTAGCCGTATTTGTCGTCGCAGCACTCATTGCACACGTTCAGCTAGGAAAGAGCGAACCCGTACAGACCCGGAAAGCTGCAGGGATACCCCCCCCAACTCGTGGTGAGTGCAGGTTACCGGGACTGGGGTCGATTCGAAGTGCATGGTTGCACCTAAGAGGCTGCTAGCTAGTTACCTTCCTCACAGGTACATGCTTCATGTCTATCACGCGCGCTGATAATTCTCTCCCTTGCGCACCTGTGCCACTTTTGTTTTTATAGACGCTCAGGAACCCGAAAAGTCCAAGCAGGCGCAGGAGGTACCTGCGGAAGTACCTGTTGTACCTGAATTTTCTGTTGGCCACGAGGAGCATTTTTCAGACTCTGATGATGATCTTGACGGGGCCAGTGAAGACGGGGATGGTGATGCAGCTGCCTTCCCAGAAGAGCAATCCGAGGCAGAGAAGGGTCCCCTATCCGGTGCAGAAGTTGATACTTCAGGACGCCCTGAGACAACCGAGCAGGAGGTGGCCTTGCGAACAGACGGTCTTCAAGGTGAACGTGTGGTCGCCAGTGGGACGGCTGGTTCTCCAGCGAGGACAGAACTTCCTACAATAGAAGAAAAAAGCGAGCCGGAAGAAGCAGAGGATGCGTCTGAAGACGCCCCGCAAAAGGAACCCGAAAGTAAGGATGCAGCTGAGGGTGCTGCGACAGTGAGGGCAGGGTCTCCTGCGGGGGAAGATAAGTTGCCGCAGCAGGAGGTGCCCGTGCCTCCGGTTACCCCAGACGAACAGAAGGAACCAACACTCGGCGGGGCCCAGCAGGATGCAGAGTCTCCACCTGCTGCTCCTTCGGAAGAAGACAAGAAACCTCAAACTGCTCCTCTGCCTGAGGAGGACACGAAGCCTCCGGCTACTGCTCCACCGGAAGAGACGACGCCTAGGGCTGCTTCTCCACCGGAGGAGGGGCCGGTGGATAGGCCTGCTTCCCCACCGGAGGAGGGGCCGATGGATAGGGCTGGTTCTCTACCGGACGAGGAAGCAGAGCGTCCTTCTGAAAAGAAGAAGAAGAAGAAGGGGAAGAAGCGGGTAGGTCACCTCTGAGTCCTGATCCCTCACGGCTGCGGGGGGAGGTACAAGAGTTGTGGGCTGACACAGAGGCACGCAGCGCCAGGCTTTCAAGGTTGCCGCAGGGAAGGAATATTGGGGTTACATGGTTCACGAAAGTTGCAGTTTGGGGCTCTAGTGATGTCAAGCCCTCTGATGTAAAGTTTTCGTTTATGGGGTGTTCCGCTCAGAGAATAGACACGCTCCTCTCATGCCTCAAGGAGCCCATGTTTGACCAACCGTTCGTACTAGGTGATGATGACTTGCGACGTAAGTGAACCCTAATTACCTATCTCCGTCGCTTTACGGGGCGGATAGTATTCACGGCGCCCACTGCGGACGATCAAACTGTCGTGGATGGTTGTGTTGTGGGATCTGCAGCTCATGCGCACATACTCAAGGGTTCTCCTCACGATATAGTTATAGTGCAGGACTTCCCGATTCCCAGGTGAGTATGCAGTAACCCATGGGAGTAGCTTGCTTGCCATCCCTGCAGCCATCTTGCCTGTCTCGAGGTGACGGGGCTACAGGAGAAGCACGAGTCTCCTAGCATACAGAGCAGGCATGATAATATATCGTGGGACGCTTTGCCCGGTATATCTCAGTGTGGGACAGTGGGGTGAGACAGCGTTTCATAAAAAGCTTCAAAGGGGACACCTTCTGGTTTGCATGCGGGTTGGATGCGCGTTGCCTCAGAAAGTTGCTTCAGGACTTCTTAACTGGGGAATGGCTCGATGTGACGGTTCTTCAGATGTACAGCAACCTCATCTCTGTATGTTGGAATCTGACGCCACAACTGGCCAAGCAGGAAAAACAGCATAAGCCTACACGATGTGCTCAGACGGACTTGGCAGGTCACTCATTTGGTTTTCACAGGGGCGTTCTTTTTATTGCGTGCAGGTTCACATAGACAGTCGGATCGCTTCTGGACTGTGAGTTAACGTTGGGCCCTGGGGTGCATGCGAGAGCACGGCAGACCAGTTGCTCAGCTTGTAGTGGGAACGGGGTTTAAAAGGGGGGAACTTTGTGGTGACTGGGAAATACCTACAGAGTCACGTCTGTTGGCCTGGCGGATGCTGCTGGCCAGTAGTAATAGTAGTAGAGCTTCGAATACTTATGATGCGTGAAGCAATCAAGTGCGCCAGTTGCTTGGTGACGGACGCGTCGATTTGTCATTTTCGTTTGTACAGGCAAAATGACGTAGCCCTGCTCAGTGCATCGGAACTTTCAACGGCTTGGCAGCTGTTCATGAATGAAGGTCGGATCCCGACAGTGGACCCAGTAAGCCTTTTCACTGAGCAGACTGTGCTGTTCGAGTGGAACAGGGTTAGCGATCCCTTGGCGTGCTCCTAAAAATTGTGCAGTTGTCCCTTACCTTGAAGGCGTGCGTTCACTGCTAGCACTTCCGGGGTTATCAAGTAGTTAGTCTCCGCAGCGTCTTTCTGCTTTGTACTGTGTTTTCAGTCCAGCATCCAACGTGCTTTAAGTGCTGAGAAGGTGGTTTTTGCCATGGCGACTCCTTTGTGGGACTGGGCCACCCACAAGCACGAGGGCGTTTCCGGACACTTCGTCGTAGCTGTCATCGATCGAGTGTGAGCACCGAGCGTTCCCATCTTATGCCGTAAACCTATTACCTTGGGTTACATGACCGTCCCATCTTTTTAAGCGCGCTTCTTGTGGACGACAGATAGCCGGGGGAGTTGCAACTAGGCTTCGAGAGCTCAGTTTATTGGTGCATGCATACTGCCTCGCTTCAGATACCGAGTTGAGTTCACATTTCAGTGTCAACATGGCGCGGCAGGCACCTGGGGGATTTCTGTGTCGTGGGCTTCGTTGTCTACTGTGTGGGGGGCTCAGGCAGCACACCGTGTCTGTTGTCGATAGCCTTCCCCACCCTCGCGACTTCTACCTTCCGATCTTGGATTTCTTAAAACATGTTGCGCAACAGCTGCACGATCCAACTGGTATGCTTTCTACCTTTCACTTTCCCTTGGCGAGACTTGCCAGAAGGATAGGTGGAACCGGGGTGTATACTTTCAGTGCTCATCTTCGGGCATGTGTCTTCTGTTTGGCCTGCCACCGCTATCTATAGCTGTTGTATTCTATGCGTGTACCCTTGTTTGTTCATTCCTTTGTCCTTTTGTGCGCGTTGCTCAGCTGGGCCTGTCCCGGCATATGAAGCCTCCCCCCATGTGCCCGAGGTAAGCTTTGATTTTTCGCTAACCTACATTCTGTTAGGCGGTAGTGAGGCTAGCCAGATGGGCAACACTCTGCGTACATTTGGTATGCGGACTTGTGGACCTGTTGTGTGCGCCCAGCCAGGATTTCCAATGCAAGTTGAAGCCTTGGGGCCAAATATTCCATCAACAGTAGGCTTGCGGGATTTGGGATGGGTGCATCTCAGCTTTTCTGTTGCTCTTGTCATAATAAGAGTATTGTTCGAAGTTCTGCGTAATTTCAGGCCGCGATGCGCTTGCGTTGGTTTTTTTTCAGCGTTTTGGGAGAAGCATTGCTAATGCATGCGGCGCTTTTTGCATGGAGAACATCCTCTGTATAGCAGAGGGCCGCCTGCCCAACTATAAGATGTCAGACGCGAAGGTTATTCGACTGCGCATGGTTAGTTTTCCCAACTTTGCGGTGCCTTATTAACCTTCAGCTGTCTATAGATTCATTTACGGGAGTGCCAATCGCGCACATTTGTTGTCAGCAGCGTCGAACCGGCGCAATCACTTCACATACACATACACAAGCAGTATTATGTGTTTCTTTGCTATATTACTGACAGAAGCTCATGCGTATCACTCAAGTATATGGTTGTACATTTCTTGTGTTGACTACTTCGCAGGTAATGGAGCTAATTGAAGGCTTATGGGATCGCCCTTTGGTCAATGGGCAAATACGCGAAAGTTTCGGTAGTTTTAAGGGCTAATGTTACTGAGTAAATTGCCAGGATTTCTAGGAAATACTGGCGTCAGGCGCATTTTCGCGTTACATTTGGGGGGTGCGATGTAAAGGATACAACTAGCGCCTGCGGACTCCCCGTCTGTCGCAGAGAGCGGCATGCCGAGCACGGAAACTCTCTCCAGGTAGCTCTTTCCTGCGAAGGCATCCATCGCATTGCGAGCTAATCCGGCATATGCGAGGAAGCAGAAATCTGCATATAGGGTTGTACATTTTGAAATATGTCGACCAGTTGAACTGGCTTTTTCTTTTGGCTTCTTCTTTCTGAGGCCGAGGTACTTCAGTTTGCCACCTGAACAGATATTGGGAGCAAGCTCCCTCCACGTGTGAGATTGTCTGCTGACCGAAACTGCAATAAAGAACCAATGACCCACGCGGGCATGCAGCCGTTGGCTTTTGTAGGGCATGATACATACGGCCATAGAGCTAGGTGCTGTAGTAGATCAAAGCAGAATACTGAATGCCTCGTATTACTAACTTCAGCATAGCGAGTCTTTGGTTGCATTTCTTTTGCGTTATAATAAGAAGCGGCGCTATCCATAAAGTGCTACTTCGGAGGCATCCTAAAAGTTTCCAGGGGCATATTCGGGGAGATGCTGTTTAAAGGTGCAAACATTCGAAACACCAGGTAGGGGGCATCTCGCAACTGATTACTCGCGCTTTGCGCCCGCAAAGCCCTCTGAGCGTTTCCACAATATCTGGTTGGGCTGGCCATGTAATCGGTCAACATTTAAGCCAGTTTTTTTGTGTTTTTTCTCATCGTCTACGGGGTCGTGACTGAAAAGGAAGTGTGATGCCATTCAAACGCTCCATTGCTTGGGGCATGAGCTTCTTCATGTGCATCCGTATGCATATGCGGTGGGTTATACGGATTAATTCCTCAGCTGGGAAGGTTTGTCAAATATAATAATGACCGTAAACGGCTATAACGTGTCGCGGTGCGCGTGACGAGGGTCGACGATCTTGTTCGAGGACCGTCGCGCGTTGCCATGAAATAAAAATACTTGAGAGCTTTCAGAAAGCCGCAGGCCTCCATTCAAGTCTCCAGGTGGCCTGCGCGCCACGGCCCAAGGCTTGGAGGAGGCGGAGAGGTAGCAGCGTGGCATGCGCTGCGCCGCACCTCGCAACTCTTGCTACGAAGAAGTTCCGCGTGGATGCACAACTTGCCCAATTTTCTGCATGTACTAACACGGTGTACAATTGTTGAACAAGTTCTCGCCCGGGCGTAGCCAGCCTGCACCAAAATACAAATACACGTTGCAGCTTCCTGCGGACCATGCAACAGGGCTTCAACAGAACATCAGCTCAAAAGAAAGACTAATTAGGTCCCTTTTGCTACCTGAGGATATTTCGTAGGGCACGCAAAACAACTGAGGTAATCCGAGTGTTTCGACAATTTTATAGGCATGGATGGACCTCTTAAGGTCCTTAAGCTGCCTCTCAACAGAAGTTTCGATCAAAGGTGGGCACGGATCGTTTCACTTTCGGCGTAGTTGCGCGCGAACCTAAGCAAGCTTGTGCTGTGCGCGGTGGATCGTTTCTTACACTTTTTGCACTCTTCGTAAATACGTAACATATTTGTACTAGGTCTCACCCTGCAAACATCCGAGCTGGTGGCTCTTAGTGTCCAACTATGGGGCACTCAGCTTCGTTCTCTGTGCCCATCGGTCCCTCTATCTCGGTATGCTGTTTGTCACAGTACCTCATTGCGTTTGCACCAGTTCTTGCATAGGACCACGGTCATTGACGCATTCTGAGGCTCTCTGACGCACACTTGCAAAACAGTCTTGACTCGCGTATGCTGCCCAGAGACCCAAGATAACGCCGACAGAAGCTGTTGTTTGCACTTACACTACCAGCGCAGAATATGTGACGTGCCCTATACCCAAGTAGAAGTACNTGGCAACTGCTGTCTCGACCTCTTCAAGCTGGCTCCAGAGCAGCAGAGGTTGAAGAAAGCAGCAGTACACATCTGCTATGTTGCTCAGGAACGAACGCCTTGGAGTGGCGAACGCCCATCAAAAACTCACAAAAATCAAGCTGTTGCTCCTCATGCCCCTCCTGAAGCAACCGGTTGTTAACGCAAGCAGGCTGCTGCTGGAACGGAGGCTGCTGTGCCTTCCCTTAGAACAGCAGTCCTGCTGCTATTGGGGAACTGCTGTTGCACCAAATGGAATATTGCTGCTGGCGAACGTGCAGTCCTCAAATGGCGCCGAATTGCGCGCAAATCCGAAGTCTGGCGCATGCTTAATGACATGCATCTCGGGTCGTGTGAAAAATGGACCACGAAAACCCCAAATGGCCAAAATGAGATCGTGCGACCCCAGCTAGCCAAAAGGCTAGTCAATGACTGTGCAGGCAGCCTTGCAAGAAGGCAGGTAGGCGGCAGAAATTTGGTTGGGAATGGTCAATCCCAGTCCGGTAATGCATCGGATGTCAGGTATTCCCTGATGGTACTGCACCAGTTGATGCTGCATCATCTGCTGGTTGTTTTCCCCTGCGAAATCCCTGGTGAATACACCAGAGACACATAGCGGCGAAAGCTTGAGGACCCTCCTCAAAGCTGGAGCGCCGCTGCGCCTCTCTTTGTACTCTACCTCGTCTGACACCTCCCACTCAACCCCATACTCAAAATACATCATCCCAATCGTCCCCACGGGTCTCCTTTTGAGACCTTACAGCTGTACCGCGGTGGCCACTGCTGCTGCTTCGGTTGCAGGTGCTGTCCTAGAAATGAAAGTAACTGTCTCTGCTCTTGCCTGTAGGAGAGCGAGCATCTGGTTTACTGTTGCCCAACAGCACGTGTCGTTTGCCTACTTGCCACTGCAGCCTTGTACCATCGGTACGCATCGTACGGCTCCCTTGATCAAGTCCCCTTACGCTGCACTTGGTCTTGCTCCTGTGTGGTGCTCGTTGCGAAAACGCTGTTAGTTTGCTGCCGCTTAAATTATTCTATTACAACTGCTGCTATCGCTGCTGTCGCCGGTGTTGAGGGGAACCCTTAATTCGGAATGGCCAGCCACTGCATTCTCTGCAGCTGCATGACGCCCTGCTGCTGCTGCTGCTGCTGCTGCTCTTCTGTAACTAGGTCCTCATGCGATACAGCTGGGAAGAAGAGCGGTGGCTGGTTATGCTGCTGCTGCTGTTGCTGTTGCTGCTGCTGCTGTTGCTGCTGTTGCTGCAACATGACCTGCTGTTGCTGCTGTTGCTCAGAGCCAGGTATCAGGAGCGTGCGCTGCTGTTGCTGTTCCCAACTGCGCGATTGCTGGAGGCCTACGCCCAGACAGGTCGCACCTACCATACGCAGTTTGGCCCCTTGCTGTTGTCCCACAACCTTCTGTGCAGTCTGCTGATATCTATCTTGTTGAACCTGGAGCTTCTGGCGCTGAAGATGCTGGTGCAGCGCGATAACATTTTGCTGTTGCGGTTGCCGCTGCTGCTGGGAGGCATTCGAGATGAAGCCAGGCCCCCACAGCGTGCGCTCATCTCCCTGCAACGGAAAGAAAAAAAGCAGTACTTGGAATTGTTAGGCCCTAAGCTGCGTCTCTCGTCAAGCGGCCGAACTGAATAGAATCACACGCGCACCGGCAAACAGGCAAGTGGTTTTTAGTGACTTAAAGAGCAGCGAAATGTAGAAGCTTGTGTGCAAGGGACGACCTGATGATGCGCCGCCGCCTCGGTAAAGCCAGTAGGCGTCCAAAGCTGCTGCAGCTGCTGTAGCTGCTGCTGCTGTAGTGGAAGCCGTCCTTTGATCTCAGGCAAGGAAGCAACTGTAGCTAGGGGGCATTCAGCTTCGCCATACACTAGCTCCTGCGCTTGTTGCTGCGGTGGTTGCTGCGGCTGCAGTTCGTGCACGTGCTGCTGTTGCTGCTGCAGTTCACAAGGCACGAGGCCTACAGCAGGCGTTGGGCTTTCTGTAAAGGGACTCTGTTGCTGAGCTTGTTGCCAGCCGCCGCTTGCTGGAAATTTGACACAAGGCCCTCCCCCTGGAGGAGCCAGCTCTAGAGGTCCAAGGCGCTGCTGCTGTTGATGCATCTCGTGATGGTGCAACTGTTGCACTTTGTGCAGCTGCTGTAGCTGTTGAAGTTGCTGTAACTGCTGTAGCTGCTGATGTTGCTGTTGTTGTTGCAGTTGCTGGTGCATCGGGCGCATGTCCATCCACACCCCTTGAGCCAGCCGAAGAAAGTCACTCCCTGACCCGCGTGTCTCTTGCTGTTGTTGCTGTTGTAGATGAAATATTTGCTCTTCAGCTGCAGAGTTGGAAAGAAGCCGCAACTGTTCCTGCTGCTGTATCGGCAGTCTCTCCTTCGGGAGGTGCCTTTGCTGGTGAGAAGAAGTCCGCTGTCCCCCAAGAGGAACAGCATTGATTGCCGATGCTCCTTCGGTGTGAGATACTGATGTGGCATTTGTTGCTACGGCACCTGAAGAGAGCAAGCGCTCGTCAGTCTGCGCTTGGCAGACAGCTGCTGACGCTAGCTGACCACACAGGGCCTGCTGCTGTTGCGTCTGTTGCTGCTGCATCATACGAGTCACCTGCCCCCTCCGTTGTTGTCGGCTTCCGCGCGATGTTTTGGTATTTTGCTGCTGCTGTTGCTTCTGCTGCTGTTGTTTCTGCTGCTGCTCGGTCACAGCGCCACAAAGTTTGAACTGCTGCTGTTCCTGGCCTTGCCGCTCTTCACCAATGTCTACGCTCAACAGACTGAGCTGATGCAGCACCTGCTCCTGCTGGGCTTTCATGCTAGGATTCATTACCTCTGCTGGTTTGCTCTCGCCGCCTTCTATCTCCCCTGGTGCAGACGTAGCCGCTGCTTCCCCATCAGCAGCAACGACGGCCGGGTGTATCACCGCTGGGTGTGTGAGGGGCTTTCCGTTGACCCACAGTGGGACTCCGAGACGACCAAGGGACTCCAGCAATGCGGCTTTCTTTGCAAGCGATCTATTTTCGATGTGCGCGATGACGCACGTCTCCGTAAGCTTCTTTTGCTGGTCCCTGGCTGCAGAAATCCCGCTTCGTAGGTGAGCCTCCCAAACTTCCGGCAAGAGTTGCGGTGCAATACAGTGGCGGCAGAGGGCACCGGAAGGCGCCTTCAGAATAGGACGAGTCCCAATGCTGTAGTGACGGAAGCGAGGGTCTATCTGTGCCATACACAAGCTTCACATACGAAACTGTATTATACAAGCTACAAATGCTTGAACAGCTGAACGTTTAGCAAGCCAGTGTGAGCGCTCAGGCTCCTCTAGTGTACGCAAGAACCTTCTGAGACACCGGTATCTACAGGATTTTGCATACTCACAACATGTATAAACCCAAGACCTGCAGCTATGAGCTGGTGATTTCACAATGTAGGATCGAGCCAGGTTTAAGGGTGTGGTTATGGCTACCTCGCATGTCATGCCTTGGATTGCCTTGGTTGTAACAAGCCTGATCTCGCTGGTGCAGATTCCTTTGACAGCATATCCCGAGAAGTCCCTCACTGGCCTGTCCAGAGGCCGGGTCTCAAATGCCCGAATGGTCAGGTCCAGGCATCCACTACTGCTGCCGCCACCGTTGTTGTTTAACTCCGTCTGCTCAGAGCTGCGCGACGTGCTCACTATTGAATAACGCCAGATGTTGTTCTTCTTCCCTGCAAACCGGAAACGGCAAGCATATGCCAACTCTCCGTATATCAGGCTGGAACATTCAACAAATAGTTGGACACCATGTGTCTGTCTATGTGTGTGTGTGTGTGTGTGTGTGTGTGTGTATGTGTGTGTGTGTGTGTGTGTGTGTGTGTGTGTGTGTGTGTGTGTGTGTGTGTGTGTGCGTATGTGTGCGCGCGCTTGCGTGTGTATGTCTTCGCAGTTGTAGTACGTACCGAGAGCTGTTTGTTGTCCAGCGCCTTTGTGTCTTCGGCAGCAGGATGGTCTACCCTGGGTTGTGGCAGTTGCAGTGACACTTGGAGTTGCCGTGCCTTCTCCCACCCTCAATCGTTTGCCATCTACCTGTTGCTGCTGCTGCTGCCCGTAGTTCCTCAAGAGTCCCTCCACGTAGTTTTCCAGGTGGCGCAAAAAGGTCTGGAGCTTCTCAAACTTTGAGCGTTCTTCGTCCTTTAAAAATATGCCAAAGCACAGGACAGAGTTTCGAGAAGCGCAGTGTGGAGAGATAATCACAAAAATGGAGAGCAACTGTCGACGGGGCATGAACGTGAGACAGGGGAGAAGCATTTGGCTGCGAAGCCAAGAATTGTATGAAGCTTGAACAGCCATATCTCGGTTACACTAAACATTTTACAGGCAACAGAATGAGCCGCTTCACCACAGGGATAGTCGGCAACCGGCCAAGGGGCAGGTCCCAGAGCCAAGTGAATCAAGAGGTAGTGGTGGCATTACGCAGAGCAGAGAAAAGACGCAAGTAGAGCTACAAGCGGAAAACACGCTTTAAAGAAAAGATACGCCTAAATGTCAGATACGAAAGCACAAGGCACTGTACAAGCTCCTAGTGAACCCCCAATACAGCAACGAACACAGCTCTATACCGCAAGGAACGTGCAAAAACAAGCAGTGTTGAAATCCCAACGCCTCCCCGGCCTAGAACACGAGATGTCATGGCACTGCCTCTGCCGCTGAAGTGCACTATAAGTAAAGAGTACCAAACCTGCATTCACGTGCCCCTATATACAAGATTCGAGGGAACGAGATCTGTGTGCCACAAAAATAAAAACGTGAGTGGTAGGTTTGCGCTTACACCTTCCACTGAGCAGCTGACGGTGAGAACCTTCCCGCCAAACCTGCCGGGTGCATTTCGCTCCTGCAATCCCCAGCAGCGCAGTTTGAGGGGCTCATGCAACTGCGGCAGCAGCTGCTGCCCCAGTGTATTGAAGGCTGCAGCAACGAGAGGGACTAGAAGACACGGCACGTAAATAATTGCCAATTCCATCTGCAAGGAAGCCGCAAAGGTGTCGCAAATCCCTCCGGCGTGGGAGAATAGCGTATGAGCCGCCGGATGCAAAGTGGGTGAGAAGATGTAGTAGCTCTTCTTGACTCCTAGACTTTGGCTGCTGCTGCTGCTTGCGAAAGCAGCAGCGCTGGCAGCGGTACCGGGCTCTCCAGAGCCAAACTTCAGAATGCGGCCAAAAGGGAGATTCAGGGGTAGGGTAATAAGCAAAGACGTAAGGTGAGAACGATCGCAAGAACGATCCAACCCTGGCGTCAAAATAGGTAGGCATGGGGGAAGGCGCGGCAGAAGCGCAGAGACCCTCTTAGCTGCAGTCGAAACTGAGACGTGCTTGACAGTCTCCTCTCGTCCCTTGCATAGACACCCCTGATGATGATTATGCTGCTGCTGCGGGTTGGTGGCGCTTGCCCCTTGTTGGGCGCAGCAAGTGCTACTGTGTTCGCGTTGCATGTGCTGCCCGAACATCAGCAGATTATCCAGCTGGTGCTGCTGCAGTTGATCCGGGTCTTGACGTTCAGTCGAAGGGTGCAATAGCTGGGACTGCTGCTGACCTGTAGGGATTAAATGGTGCTTTAAATGTTTTTGTTTGGATGCAAGTTCCTTGTAGAATGAAACTCTTTCCTGTTGCTGTCGCTGCTGCTCCTCCGATGATGCAAAGTTTGAGGCGAGTTGGCTCTCAATGGGACAAACCATGTGTTGCTGCCCCCTGAGCTGTTGCTGCTGCATGCGCTGTTGCTGTTGCTGCTCCGCAGATGGCCAAAGAGAGAGCGTTGGAACAGACGGTACAGGCGTAGAAGGAGCTTCGTCTGCCACTGTGGCTGCTGGCAAATCAGTGTGCCTTTCAAGTCCTCCAGGAGAAGGCACTTCTTCAGCATCTTTCTCGCAACGCGGAGCTACTCCTGTCGTTGGTGCTGCTGATTGGAGCACCTGTATGGCGCCGCAGGGCCCTTCAGGGTTCTTTCCCACTGATCCCTGGCTGCTTCTACCAGTAGAAGCAGCAGAAGCAACAGTTGAAAAGGAGTCACTCAGACAGGCTGGCTCGACCAGACTGCTGCTAAGGGACAAGCTGTCGCTGAGGCACATTGAATGGCTGAGGGGATCGTCTGGCCAGGAGCATTGCCAGGATTGTGTTGATGCTGCTGGATTTGTGGTTTCCACTACGGCTACTGCTGAGGAACAGGAAGGGGGCACAGTTGTCCCTTCAGGCGCGCGTGCAGATCCACAGGATGCCTCGTTGCAGTTGCCACTGGCGTTGCAAGAGGTAGGCCCCTCCACAGCTTGCAGCCCCAAAGCGTTGCTGCTTTGGTTTTGATGCTCTTGAGTTGTTGCTGCCACGGCAACTGCTGCTGTTGCAGCGCTTGCTGAACTTCCTTGGTGCTGTTCCCATCCAATGGGCTCAAGACAGGCAAGGAACGCTTCGTTGTGCTGTGGCGGTACAAAATGCAGCGCTTGCTGCTGATTAGGGTGTACATACGCTTGTTTTGCTGAACCATCCTTGGCGGGTGGCGCTGTGGAGGTACTTGCAGCAGCAGCGTCGAACCCCAATTCACCCTGCGGAGTTTGCGGTGGTGCTGTCGACCCCTGAGACGCAGGCGAATAGGCATGAGGCAAGCCAGACAGAAAGGCTAAAGCGCACGGACTGTCTACTGCTGTTGCAGTTGCTGTCGCTGCAGCTGTAGGAGAAGCAGAAGCAGCAGCAACCGGCGGGGCTGCAGATGTGGTAGGGGACCCCCAGCCAGGGGTACTGGCTTTTGTCTGCAGACGCAAATGCACACTAGGAAAACTAAGCATTCATCTTTTAACTCAGCGAGTGTACGTTTTCAGAGATACTGCTCGTGTTGCTGCAGAGCAGCAAAGTGGCAGCAACAACAACGGGATCAGTTGACTTACAAGATCCACCCGATGGGTTGGGGACCTCTGCAGCTCGGACGGGTTAGGTGGTACGCAATGCTGCAGCTGCAGTTGGAAACGCTGCACTTGCTGTAGCTGTATGAGCTGCTGCTGCTGTGGCTGGATCTGCTGCTGCTGCGTGCCTGTCTCCGGCAGCGGCCGCTCCCCCTCACTGCTTTGCTGCCCTTCATCATTTCGCCTGAGCGGCGTCGGTGGCGGGGCAGGTGCTGCTTGCAACAGCAGTTGACTTTGCGGCTGTTCCTGTTGGGACAGCATATGCTGCTGCTGCTTCTCCTGGATTGTTCCCGTTCCTGCTGTTGCCCCTGCTTTGCTGTCCTGCAGAGACCCCTGAATCTGCCTTACGGCTTCACCGAAAACGTGCGGGGGGTACAGTAAGTCCCACGACTTGCTGCCGAGGCTGGGGCTGCTCTCAGCTGTGGGTGCTGCTGCTGCTGTTTGTTGCAGGGCCATTCTCATGCGTGAATGTGCGCCGCCAATAGACTTCCTCGTAGAAAGAGCTGCAAATATCTCCCTTTGATATTAATCTCGAAGGTCTGCTGTATACTTCGACAGAGCACGTGATGAAAAGCAACAAATGCATGAGACACACACTGCAGATACGTGTATGTAACAATGCTCTGCGTGAACAACTAGTTGCCCCGCATACTAACCATGCATAGAAACAGACACATATACACATATAAGTCCAGTCGGGCCCATAAGGAAGTATTGCTGTACTTCAGCACGCGCCCAAGGTGGACATGAAGCTTGTTAGAGGCAGGAGAGCGGATCCCGCCTTCAAACGCGCGAATACCCTTCCTGTGTCTACCGTGACCGTTCCACCGAGCACGGGAGGAAAACGGGCGGGAGTTGTTGCAGCTGCTGCTACTGCTCCAGTTGTCTTGTCCTTCTGATCCACCAGAAATAAAGGAAACACAGCCAAGAATAAGCACAAACACGCAATTTGGTAACGCAAGAGGAAGGAAGGGAGCAAAAATCAGCGGCCATGCACGAGGCTACGGGCGGGGTGCGCAGCCGGCAGGGCGATACAAGTCAGTTTGAGCGCTGGGGCATCGGGCTTCAGGTGTAGAACTAAAGAGTAGGTAGCACATGGAAAAGGCGTTGAGAGCCAAATAAGGTCTTTAAACCCTCCGAGAACGCCAGGGGAACAGGCGGAAACCTCGCCTCTGCCCCAAGTCGAAGGCCGACAATGCCCGGCACAACACGAGCTTAGGGCCTAGAGGCAAACGGCTTATCCAGTAAGCACACAAATGCCAGGTACACCTTCCATTTATTATGCTTTCACGAGACAACTAAGAGACAAAAGGGAAAAGAAACAGCTAAAGCAATCCGAGACAACAGCAGGACGGTAGTGCTCGTGCTTAAGGCCCGCAGTAACGAGTGACTTTCGGGCATATGTATACCCCACCAAGCGCATCTACAAAATCCAAACAACGCAAAATATAAATAGACTGAAGTACCAACAGGCAGAGGGAAGGCGAAGCAGCGGGGCGCCTTGATGTTTGGGAGGCGGGTGTGTGCTACCGCGGCTGCTGTCTCCCGCTGCAGCCGGTGCTGGTGCTGCCGCTGATGCAAATGTACATGACCGATTGAGAATCATTATAGTTATAATTTGAAATAACCAGGGTAACTTACTTAATGAATGCTTAACTATTGTACACTCTAGACAGAAGCCTGCGGCGACCACATACGCAGTCCGTACATACGGTGATGAGGGTCTCTCCTCGCCCCCAAACGACGATGATGGAGGCAACAGCTGCAGTCCTTCATAACGCATCCTTTTCTAATAATGTATGCAAAAAAAGGACGTGTCACTTTGTCACTGTCGTATGCATCATATCGCGCAGACCTGTGCAGCCGACCTCTCACCCCCAACATACGGCCCTCCCCCCGTTCATGTGCTCCACTCCTATCTCTGAAATTGCCTCTTTGTGAACCGAAATCTGATCAGCTCCATCAGTCGATTTTAAACATTCCTCGTCAATATCGTGTTTTCATGCAAGCTGACGTGCTTGGTAGCTTGGAATCATGTTACTCGGGCAACGGAGAAGCCGAGACTGCTCGTGAGGTGCCGCGGCCGTTCTTTTTCTTGATGCATCGGCGACTACCGGAGTATATCTTTTATAAATTTGATCCTGCTCCAAATCGGCCCTTTAATTAGCTGGCATCATAAGAACAAACTATTGTACAGCCACTTTTGGTTCCCGGGAGCTTTGGAAACAGGGACTGAGATGTTCGTGCCGCATGTACGCGTACGACTGTATATTCAACTTTCCACTGCCTTCAAATTTATCTTTCTCAATTTTCGCCTTGCCTTTTATACAACGCTTCTTGTTCGATAAGTGACGCCACCTGCTTCAGCTCTTCCGTTTCTTCGATTTGCCGGCCACGGAAGAATAAGTTTGTGCTAGGTTCACCCATGCTGTAACATGCGTTAGCGCAGAGTTAGCTCAGGAGCCTATCGAAAGCTTTGGCATGCTGCGCGTAAGCGCCTGCAAACGTTATACAAGTTCGTTATGAGGCAAAGCATGCAGCG